GTGAGTTGGCGGACCGATTCCGCAGCTTCTGTCCGCGAAATGAGGGTCGCGCAGCAGTTCACCAGCCGAGCAGGATCGTCTAGGTTTATGGTGCGATAGATCCATTTCAAAGCAACGTCATGTATCCGGCGATTCGTTAGACACAGTACCAAGAGGTCTCCTGCCTCACAAAGACCTGCAATTGTGTGTATCAGTTCGTTGGGAAATGTGACACTGGGGGCAGAGACCCACGCATGTCGTTTCGACATGCGTGGTTCGCATGTCGTCCGTATGCAGGACAAGGACTGGCAAAGGGCCTTTGCTTAGAGAAAGGAGGGCTTTGTCGGCTCCCGCGAGCCGACAAAGCTTCCCTTTGTCTTATCAAATAGGTCTTACATTATGCGAGCGACATGCGAACCACGCACGTCGTTTCGACATGCGTGGGTCTCTGCCCCCGGTGTGAGGAAGCCGGAGGGGTTGGCCATTTTTGGTCAATTAGGTGGCTGGTAGCTGCGCACAGCTTCTTCATGTCGGATCAAATCTGGCCACGTCCTGTCACACCACGTGTCGGTTTGTCACCGCCTTGGCTGCAACTTGGCTGTTGGATACATTGGCCCCGAATTGGCCCTCGACCTCCCTCGACGTCTTCTCATGACCCCGGAAGCACGATTGTTCAAAGATTTATTTCTTTGAGTCTGGCTCCTAGCTTCAGCCGGCTGCCAATAATTTGAAAAATTATTACCATGATCTCGTTTAATTATGAACCGCGCGATTCGTGACGGCTTGAAGTTAAACGATGACGGCCGGTCATCAGATTCATTGAATGCCAATGGATGTATGAGGCTTCACAGGCCAAACCCAGTGGTGCGGCGTGCGATGCGGCCTTTTGGAAAATTGATGAATTCGAACCATACAGATAGCTGGGCTGGGGATCCACCCATGCGATTCATAAGGTGAGGTGCAGCTCTCGCTATCATTGCTCACATCCTCTGTACGGATTCCCGAACTACTGCGGACCAGACGTCGCCAATCCAGAAAGAACATCATAGCGGAATTTCAACTGTCCCGCATTTCGCCGCATGAAAAAACTGGCAGGGTCAGAAAAAGAGCGTTCGACTCGATTAGAATATAAAATCGACATTTTCTCTATTCTAATCTTGCTTCTGGTTACGCCCGGCGCCGGGTGGGGTGGAATCTTGAAAACGGTGCGATTGTTTACCTTCACCGAGTCAAAATTTCGCGCCCCGAATATTCTTGAAGACCGAGGGGGTATGTTTTCTTGAAAGAATAGCAATAGACTGGATCTTGGAGGTGATAAGTAGGAACTTAAAAGCGGGTGCGAATTGGATTGGAGACCACTGGCTGCACAGCCCCATCGCTGCTTCTTCTCAACCACCATGTCACTGACGGAAAGTCCTCCGGACATCCTCCTCGAGATAACCAGCCATCTTGATCTACAAGAATCCCTTCAACTCGTTGCTGTAAACCTCTCCTTGTATGAATTTCCAAAAATCTGACCATCTCGTCCGCAGACATGTTCCGCTTGCAAAGCTCTCACGCTTTTCCCATCGTTCTGGATTACGGCTCTGAACAGGATGGAACAGTTCCACAGGAGACCTCTCCCCTGCTCTCCTGGAACCGAAATAACATCTCTCTCACTTGCTAAACTTCAAGAACTGGCCACTTACGCGTATAGGCTGATGAAGAATTGGGCTTCGAAGGTGCCACGCCCCAGTTCCATCCGAAAAATAAGCATAGAGTATGATACGCTTCGGGGGGAATTCCATCCCATTCAGGGGTCTCGCCTCTACTTGACGCTGCTACCGGATCGACTCGAGTGTTGGGATATGACATCGGGAAATATGATCGGCGCGATTGGCTCACCGGAGGGATATACCAGATCTTCAGCAATATCCACATTTTCAGCTCCCGGCAAATGCAATATTGGAAAGGGCTATCTTACTGAAAGGTAATGTGGGCTCATATTTTGTCATCGCCGCATCCAAATCTATCTTCCCAGAGCATCCGACACCATTCTGGAACTTGTCGTTTCCCAGATTAACCATCGGTATCCATATGCGGTCACCTTCTCCAAAGTCGCCTCCAGAAATTGGATTATTCCCGACACTTCCCCATCCATGTGGAACGTGGATTTGACTGACAAGATGATCGCAGTCCTACTCTCGGTCAACAACAAGGATATGCTACTGCTCTACGACTTTGCATCCCCCGACCAGTTCATCCGTAGAGCGACATTGTCCCGCTCCATTGACTCGCTGCGATATGTACCGCGAGCTATCGTCATTCACGGAGACAACATCTATACCACTCGAAATTTCGAAAAATCCGTGGAAATTTTGCACGTCCGATCTCCGCTCATGGCATCCGAGGTCCAGATCAACACAGTGAAGCGAACGCTTCCATTTCTCGTTGACGAGATTGAAGAGACTGACCGCGACACTCTCAATGGTGTGGGTCGCCTGCCTCCACGTCCAACATACGGTATCTTCCATGTTACGCAGCGGTGGCCCAACTATCTCCACTTCTGGCCCGCCGAAGACGTGGGCTCCCACTTCGAATTCGGCCCACTCCGCCTCTACGAGCACCCCGGCCGTATAGACTCTTTCGCAATTAGCTCGTCCCGCACGCTTGTCGTGATCAGGGACCGGCACAACGCCTTTGGAATTGTACAGTACATTTTCCAACCCACGCCACATATTGCTTTCCGGCCCCTTTAAATTTCTGGTTGGGAACATTTGAATAGCATGGAGTTTGACTTCGTGGTGGACGATCGGTTGGGGGTCATATATCTCGTCGATAGGAGCTTACGGACTGGGGCTACTGTAACTATAGTCTCCTACGCGTAGCTGTTGCCGGCCCTTGTATGTGTTGCGTTGTACGCATCAGAAACGAAAACATAATCAATTGGCGAGAAATTTTCCAAAAGCCGAAAACAGCAAACCGGTGTTGCGCTCTCCGATCAGATTTGACTGGTTCTGGCATCGAGCGTTACTGGGTGTCGTTCCATATTTCGCCTATTTCGCAACGAAAAAAAAAAGGAAATGAAGAGAACTGAAAAAGGGTCATCAATACGAGCCTGGGAAATGATGAGCCAGCCTGAAATCGAACCAGAATCGTCTGCGCGGAAGCAGCATTGGATACCTGCGCGAATATCGGCTGCAGATGCGCACCACGCGCCACCGGTTCTCTTTTCTGTACTTTTGTGTTAGAATTAGCTGGAGTCATCGAGTGGAGGACTTATCGGACACGGGGGCCGGAAACCCAGTCCCGGGATGGTTGAAGAGATTCTTTGGTGAAAGTTGAGAGATGAAATGTAGGCAACAACACTGAACGGCATTGAAGTGAGCGTGATCACCAAGAGAAAAAAGACGAGGCAATGCTCAGCGCTCAGTAGTGACCCAATCTGGATTCGAACCAGGGATGTCTGCGTAAATAAATGGCGAAGATCCAAAGGAAGCAGATGCACGCCGGGTGCCATTGGGTCTCTTTAAGTCGTTTTGGTGCCCGTATAAGGGAGGCGACAAAGGATGCGATGAATAAATAAGTTCAAAGAAATCAGTTTACAACTCGAGTGAATTCTGTGAGCAATTGGTGATCCGGAAACACTACACAGATACCTCGTACGTTGCAACTGAATCGTGCAGGACTCGGCCATAAGGGAGCCTTATTCCGTCGATACATATGCCGATATTCGATGCTGCATAAATAAAAGCTAATTAGAGGATGGACGTGAAGAAGGGCCGAAAACATTGAACCAGTGTTTGTTGTTGAACTGTCCGAAATTGACTAGCCCTGGTACTTATACCGCCCTGCGTTCAGTGCTTCGCAGATGAACAGCCAAGAAGTAGGAAAAATCAAGAGAAATATAAAAAAGGCTCGCCCAACCGGATATGAACTAGCCTGGAATCGAACCAGGATCATCTGCGCGGGAACAACGAAAGGACCCTAACATTGGCTGCAGATGCGCACCACACGCCACAGGTTCTCTTTTCTGTACTTCTGTGTTATAATTGGACCGTGGGTTGACAGAGAGCTAGAGTCATCGAGTTGAAGACTTGTCAAGATATGACGGAAACCGATCGGTGAATAGGGCGAGTCTGGGGTGGTTGAAGAGATTTTTTGGTGGGTTTGATAGGATAATAAAGTGGGGACAAAAACATGAACAGCGTTTAATTGAGCGCGATCACCAAGAGAAAGAAAAAAAGACGCGGCGATGGTAGTGACCCAACCTGGATTCGAACCAGGGATGTCTGCATAAATAAATGTCTCATCGCCAAGACTCAAACGAAGCAGATGCACGCCGGGTGCCATTGGGTCTCTTTAAGTCGTTTTGGTGCCTGTATAACGGAGGCGACAAAGGATGCGATGAATAAATAAGTTCACGACTCGACTGAATCCTGTGAGCAATTGGTGTCAATGATCTGGGTGCACGGCACAGATACCTTGTACGTTGTAACCGAATCGTATAGGACTCAGCCATAAGGAAACCTTATTCCGTCGATACATAAGCCGCTATACGATGCTGCATAAATAAATACCAATTAGCGGATAGACGTGAAGAAGGGCCGGAAACATTGAACCGGTGATAAGCTCTCTGAAATTGACTAGTCTTTTCAGTGCTTCGCATATGAACAGCGAAGAAGTAGGAAATTCAGGAGAAATATAAAAAAGGCTCGCCCAATCGGATATGAACCAGCCTGGAATCGAACCAGGATCATCTAAAGGACCCTAACATTGACTGCAGATGCGCACCACGCGCCATAGGTTCTCTTTTCTGTATCTCTGTGATAGAGTTGGAGCAGCGTGAATTCAGAGAGCCTATGGTAGTCGCCGAGAGGAAATCCTATCCCGGGGGCCGGAAACCGATCGGTGGACACGGCGAGTCTGGGGTGGTTGAAGAGATTCTTTGGTGAAAGTTGAGAGATGAAATATAGGCAACAACACTGAACGGCATTGAATTGAGCGCGATCACCAAGAGAAAAAAAACGAGGCAGTCGCAATGACCCAACCTGGATTCGAACCAGGGATGTCTGCGTACATAAATGTCTTTCACGAAGACTCTGAAAGATCTAAACGAAGCAGATGCACGCCGGGTGCCATTGGGTCTCTCTAAGTCGTTTCGGTGCCTGTATAAAGGAGGGCGACAAAGAATGCACGTACGTTGCAACTGAATTGTCGAGGAATCAGCCGGGGAAACTGATAGAGATCTTATTCCGCTGTGCGATGCTGCATAAATTAGCGGATGGACGCGAAGGGCCGGGAACTGAACCAGTGTTGAGCTCTCCGAAAATGACTAGTCCTGGCACTGTATTGTATACCGACTTGCGTTCAGTGCGTTGCATTGTTACAGCGAATAAGTAGAAAAAATTGGGAGAAATATAAAAAAGGAGTCGCCACCGCGATACTTTGAATGTGAACCAGGCTAATTCAACCAGCCTGGAATCGAACCAGCCTCATCTGCGCGGGAGCCACAATCCTTCACGCAATATCGGCTGCAGATGCGTATCACGCCCTACCGGTTCTCGCCTCTGCATATCTGTAAGAGAACTGGAGCATGAGTTGATAGAGTGCGCAGGACTGAGGAGACGGTGCCAGCGACACGGCATACGGCATGACATGCACACCAAGAGGCCTACCTGAAGACTTTGATGAGTCGGAGGGATTATTTTTCGAGGTGAAACGAGAAACAGAAATTCTGGACCTTCTGTGTAAGGACAGGAAACGGCCAATTGAGTCAAGAGAAATTGAACGAAAAAGTCAACTTGAAGTTGAACCAAAGTTGAACATTGATCATGTGACTCGGAAGTATCGCGAGATCCGAACATCTCGAGTCCCGGTCCTCGCCGACCACTAGTGCCAGAGTGCCAGTCAACGCATCCACTACGCTCGATTCGTGCCAGAATGATTCAGGTACATTGAGGACGTCCAGAGGCCGCCGCTGCTCGACTTCCCATTCGCCTGCTTGTCGTTGCGAGGCCTGAACGGTAAATCCACTTACGCTCCGCGCCGAACACATGTGCTCAGACCACATACTAATAGTGTGCGCCCGTCGCTATACGTGTCAAGACGATCTTCCCGACGGAGGAACAAATAAATTCAAACCTTCATCTTCCAGTGTGCGCTGTCTGGGCGACTTTTGCCTGCTCTGCTCCCCTTACACCAATCCTGTCAAATCGATGGGAATCTTGCCTAGGAAATTGGATTCGGACTGGGATGGGGAGGTCACGTACTTGGGTGTCGCCGGCGGATACTGGATCCCGCACAGCCGGATGAAGTGTCGCGCTCGAGCTCGAGCTCGAATAAGTTGGTGAGTTGCCGCGTCGAGTCGTTACTTTGTCTGCCCTTTCTCCGCTTCTCCCATTCGCTTCAATGTCAGCCACCCTCCCGTCGTAACCGTCAGCCATTCTGACTTGCTCCCCTCTCTTTCCCCTGCATGTCAGCCACCACCAGCTGGAGTCCCAGCGCTCCAAGGCCCACCTTCTTCCTTCGACCTACACGTCCACACCCACCCTCCGCTCACTATCCTTCATCTCCTTTTATTCAAACCCCCGCGCCCGCCCTATGCTGTCTGACTTGCCTTGTTCTATCTAGGACGACCAGCGGCACCAAAGTAGACAGAACGCGAGTTCAGCTGCCAATCAGGGTCATCGCCGCCTTGGCTTCAAACTCGCCGGGGAGTGCGTGTAGCTGAATAGCGGAGGGCCCGATCTGGAATGAACCCATTTCGACGGGCCACTAACCGCGGTGTGTTGCTCCCGCTCGCCCGGAGCTGAATGTCGCTTTTGCGCCCGGGGCAAACACACCGACGCGCCGGGGGGGTCTTGGTGAGTTCAGAAGTCGATGTGAGGGCCGGCCTCCCATCCTCTATCGCTGCCTCCCCCCTCCTTCCCTTCCATCTTCTTCACCTTTGAAACTCCGGGCCCTACTTTCCTTCGCCCGTTTCTTCGTTGCGTCAGCCACTCCATTTCACGCCCGCCGCCCCTCCTCTCCTCTCCTCTTCATATTGGCCTCCATGCCAGCCACGTCACCCGTGTTTCCTTACGTCCGTCAGCCACCCATACTCCACTCTCCCCTCCGACAATCTTCTTGCCCTCCCTCCCTGCCTTCCCTCCCTTTCCCGTGCATCATCCCTCCGACTAACAATTCTCCAGTCCGCACTTCGTCCTTCCATTCCGTACAGCACACTGCATCCTCATGCTTCCCGCCTCTGCCCATTCCCATCCCTCCCTCTTCATGGGAACGACTCTGAATCTGTGCGGACGCTGACGAGCGGTTTTCTTCCAAGTTAGTAATAAGCGTGGAAGCTGTAGCTGAAGGCGGTAGCGACAAGGCGGGAGCGAGGTATATGTGTACCCGTTTATACGGGCAGGAGGGCCGGGGCCGCTAGTAGCCGGGTTGCGAGCTGGGCGCTCCCGGGGGGGGCAAGCCTCAGGCGCTCGCGGAGGACTCCTTACACTGCATCCCAGCACCACCCACCTCGAGGACTTTGTTCTCCGCTATGATTTTCGTCCCCCTTTGCTACCACCATCTCCCTCCCTCCCGTCTCGTCCGACGCTTTACACACCTTCGCGGCCCGCTTCTTCGCTGGCGTCAGCCGCTTGTATACCTCTTCTGCGCGTCCTCTCGCCTAGATCAAATTCGCATCGGTCTCCCTTCGCGCCAGCCGCCTTCCCTCCTCCATTCTCTCGCGCTTTTCGTGTCGGCCACTTCCCGTCTTGCCCGGTCCTCTATGCACATGTATAGTCAGCCATCGTGCTTCACTCGCCCCGCCGACTAATCGTGTTCCTTCCGCTTCGACTATATACGATATCTAGCCTTTCGTCGTGCCTTCCCTTCCCGTGGACCATAATCATTTCGTACCCCTTATATACACCTTCCCGCACCGCGCCTCCGCCTGGACCCATTCATTATCGCCCCCTGTCGTCGGGAACGATGTGCTGGCTTGCGGTTTTCTTTTAGACTAGTGGCGCGTGCGGAAACTAAGCGATGGGGCCCGGCGCGGGGAGCGATTCGGGCGATCGGGCAGGAACGGGGCGGGCGCGGGAAGCGTGTCGCCCACGGAAATTGGGAGGGAGCGAGGGAGCGAGGGGCGGGGGCGGGTGATCAAGCTGATGTCGCCGAGCGCGTTCCGGGCTCGACGAATCGAGTGCATGTGGTTCGGACATTTGGCGGGCATCGCGTGTCTCGTTTCGACGACGCGGATGCAAGACCCGCCCTCGGCCAGGATGGGCGCGCGTGCGCCGGGCGCCCGTACCTCGAAGCATGACGACGCGCACATCGAGGTGAGCGCCCATCCTCTTCGCTGTTGTCGTCTCCGCCTGTTCCTAGTTCTTCGCTGTTACATTCCATAGCATCCGACATCATCTTCGCCGCCCTCAGTCTTCGCTTCTTACCATTCTTTACTTTCGTGTCAGCCACGGATCGAGCGTTTTTCGCCCTATTCTCTACTCTTCATTTTAGATATCGTACATGCACCGTGCACCGCCGCCACGTCTTCCATCCACCTTCGTGTCAGCCACTTCCCGCCTTGCCTTGATCCCCTACCACCCTCTACTCTACATACATCCCATACCGGCCCATCTCCGTTAGCCACGACCTTCCGTTCCCTCATCCAGCCCGCCACGTACCTACTTCATCCCGCCGCGCAACCTCTTCCTCTTTTTCGTCTTCATCCCCTCCCTTGTCTTGTTCCCCTGTCTTGTTTTACGCTGTATGCTGACGGATGTTTCCAAGTAGCATTGCGTGTACAGTGGGTTCGGGAGTGCACGTGGGCGGTGTACGATCGGGGTCGGATGTAGACGAATGCCCGCCGAGGAGCAAGCGGGAGCCTCAACGCCACTTGGCGGGCGCTCCCGCCTGGCGCCACCCTAAGATTATCTTCAAGTCAGGGGCTTCCGCCCCCTTCATCCCCTCGTTCGCCGCAGCCACTTTTCTAACGGGCCTTGGATTGGGAGGAAGCTGGGCAGCGCGCGGCGGGGAGGTGTGGTTAATTCGATGCCGCCGAAGTGCATCGCGAGTCTTTCGTTTTCAGGGACGCAGACGGAGCCCGTGCGTGCGTGGGCGCATCGCGGTCGGCTGTACAGGTCCGGGTTCGGGAGTGCACATGGACTGTGTACGATCGGGGCCGGGTGTAGACGAACGCCGTCGAGAAGGAACAAGCGGAGAGCACCATCAAGCCTCAGGCTAGGGAAGATGTACTTGATGCTCCCGGTCATCCCGTCGGCTACCCCCTATGATTTTCTTCGGGTCAGGCGGCTCGTGCTCCCTGCCGTCCCCCTCGTTCGCGTCAGCCACTTTTCTAACGGGAGCGGGAGGCGTGTCGCCTCGCATTGGGAGAGGTGTGGTTAACTTGATGTCCCAGAAGTGCATCACGAGTCTAGTTTTTTTAGGATGCAGACGGAGCCCGTGCGTGCGTGCGTGCAAGAGCCTCAAAGTCGAGCAGCACATTTGTTCTTCGAACCCTCAGGGCGTCCTGCCCAGGTACACGATGTCGGGCATATCGAGGTAAGCGCTGCATTTCCTTTTTCTATTTTGCATCCCTTTTGCTGACGCGCTCCTTTGTTTGCGTCAGGTAAGTTATTGGGATCCGATCCCATCTTCGCCAGCGGCGCTCTTCGGCGTGTCAGCCTCCGCGGATTATCATTCCCTCCACTTTTGTCTCAGCCACTTATCGCCTACTCTATGTACTGTGCATGCACCGCCGCCAGACGCGTCAGTCTCCGCGGTTTATTCCGTGTCACTTGTTGCGCTTCCTTTGCCCTATCCGTTCCTCTACATGCCTACATTCATGCTCCGTGCCTATCTCCGTGTCTTATTCATTCCTCCACTATCCTGTCACAGTGTCAGCCACCACCGCGCGCTCTTCTATCCTATACACTGCCTGCGCATCCTTCGTAGCCTGGAAGTGCACACGGACGGACGTGTACACGAGGGGTAATGTCATGTGGGGTAGTAGAGAAGAGGGAGGAGGGGTCCGACGAGTCAGCATCAAGCCTCGGGCCCTATAGCATGCATTCGACGCTTCCGGTTGAAGAAGAGCTCCTACCTCGATCCCGTCAACTTGCACATTCGGAGAGATGGTGGCGACGACACTGAACATGATGTGG